TTAAGTCCATTGTTTCTTTGTTGACTTTCTGTCTTGATGACCTGTCTAGTGCTGTCAGTGGAGTACTGAAGTCCCTCACTATTATTGTGTTCCTGTGTATCTGATTTCTTAGGTCTATTAGTAATTGCTTCATAAATTTGGGAGCTTCAGTGTTAGGTGCCCATATATTTAGTATTATGATATTTTCCCATTGGACCTGCTCTTTCATCGTGTCCCTCTTTGTCTCTTTTAAGTGCTGTTGCTTTAAAGTTTGTTTTGTCTCATGTAAGAATAGCTACTCCTTCTTGCTTTTGATGTTCATTTGCATGGAATATCTTTTCCCACCCTTTACCTCAAGTTTATATGAGTCCTTATATGTTAGGTGAGTCTCTTGAAAGTAGCAGGTACTTGGTTGGTGAATTCTTATTCTGCCATCCTGTAACTTTTAAGTGGAGCATTCAGGCCATTTACAATCAACATTAGTATTTAGATGTAAGGTACTATTCTATTCATTATGCTATGTGTTGCCTGAATACCTCGGTTTTTGTTGTTATTGTTGTTGTTGTTGTTGTTTTATAATTGCTGTGAAAGTTATGCTTTAAGGAGGCTCTATTTCTGTGTATTTCAAACATTTCTTTCAAGACTTGGAGCTACTTTTATCAGTTCTTGTAGTACTGGCTTGGTAGTGGCAAATTCTCTCAGCATTTGTTTGTCTGAAAAAGGCTGTATCTTTCCTTCCTTTGTGATGTTTATTTTCACTGGATACAAAAGTTTTGACTGACAATGGTTTTGTTTAAGGAGGCTAAGAATAGGACCCCAATCCCTTTTAGCTTGTAAGGTTTTTGCTGACAAATCTGCTGTTAATCTAGTAGGTTTTCCTTTAAAGGTTACCTGATGCTTTTGCCTCACAGCTCCTAAGATTCTTTGCTTCATCTTGACTTTAGATAACCTGATGCCTATGTGCCTAAGCAAAGATATTTTTTTGCAATCAATTTCCCAGGTTTTCTTTGAGTTTCTTGTATTGGATGTCTAAATCTCTAGCAAGGCCAAGGCAGTTTTTCTCAATTATTTCCTCAAATATGTTTTCCAAACCTTTAGATTTCTCTTATTCCTCCAGAACACTAATTATTCTTAGGTTTGTTTACCATAATCCCAAACTTTTTGGAGGCTTTGTCCATTTTTAAAATTTTTTTGTCTTTGTCAGATTGGGTTAATTAAAAAGCTTGTCTTCTAGCTCTGAAGTTCTCTCTTCTACTTGTTTGATTCTATTGCTAAAACTGACCAGTTTATTTTGCATTTCTCTAAGTGTGTCCTTCATTTTCAGAAGTTGTGATTGTTTTTTATTTATGCTATCTATTTCTCTGGAGATTTTTCCATCCATATCTTATACCCTTTTTTAATTTCTTTACGTTGTTATTCATCTTTCTCTGGTGCCTGAGTAGCTTAATAAATGACTTTTTGTATTCTTTTTCTGGCAATTAAGAATTCTTCTTGGTTTGGATCCATTACAAAAATTGCTTTTCTGATCTCTTCTCATTTGGGTAGACTATGTCAGAAGAAAGATCTGGGGCTCAAGGGCTATTTTTCAGGTTATTTTATCCCATGGGGTGCTCCTTTGATGTAGTGCTCTCTACCTTCCCCTAGGTATGAGGCTTCCTGAGAGACAGACTGCAGTGATTGATATTTCTGTTCTCAGTCTAGCCATCCAATGGAGTTACCAGGCTCCAGAGTGGTACTGGGAAGTGTCTTCAGAGAATCCTATGATGTGATCCATCTTCAGGTCTCTCAGCCATGGATACCAGCACCTACCCTGATGGAGGCAGCAGGGGAGTGGACTCTGTGAGGGTATTTGATTGTAGTTTTGTTTAGTGCCCTGGTTTTCTGTTGGTTGGCCTCTAGACAGCATGTGGCATTTTCAAGAGAACATCAGCTGTGGTAGTATAGGGAGGATACAAGCTTGTTCTAGGGTCACCTGGATAAGTATTCAGGTTTCTCAAGGAGTGGGAAGGACTATAGAGCTCCCAAGAGTTATGTCCTTTGTCTTTAACTGCCAAGGCAGGTAGAGAAAGACTATCAGGTGGGACAGAGTTAGGCATGTCTGAGCTCAGACTTTCCTTGGGCAAGGCTTGCTGCAGCTGCTCTGGGAGATGCGAGTGTGGTTCTCAGGCTGATAGAGTTATGTTCTTTATTTCTGTTCTTTATAAATTACACTTGTGTGTTATTACAGCACAAGTGAACTGAGATCAGGGGCATCATACAGGTCACCAGAGAAGTTGGGGAAAGCCAGCAATGGTAGGTCTCACCCAGCTCCAGCCAGCCTGGAAGGCCAGTTTCACTCCCACCATGCCCCTCCAGCAGCACCAAGTTTATTTCCAAGTATTAGGTGAGCAGGGCTGAAACTTGCTACAGATATAAGGCACATGTAATAAAAGGATTGGGCATTTAACACAAGGGGATGAATATTCATGTCTTTTCTCGGAATGAACAGAGAACTCTTTAGGACTGGTGTGCCTTTTTTTTTTTTTTTTTTTGGTTTCTTCCAGTCATTGTCATGGTGATTGTAAACTGTGATGGCACTGGTTAGAGTGTCAATTAACATGGAAATTACATTATAATTAATTTTCAAGTTCTTCAAAGGTCAAATGAGCTGCCATCTTGGATTCCTCCTTGAGTTTCAGCTGGTTTAATTATGAGGGGGATCTTCTGATGGCAAGGCTCCTGTTTCTTAAAGATAAGCAGAGTTAAGGCAGGGCAGAAATTTAGCTAGGTCACGTAGGCATTACACTGGGTAACAAAGGGAGGTCAGCTGATGTATATTGAAAAGACCACACACCAGAGGCAGCTACTGCAAGTATTTTATCTATTTTTTAAACCTCTGATTAAAAATATAAGTTTTGTCAATTAGTACAATAGATGTTAGGGTTTTCTTTTTTTTAATATATTGATGAAATTATTGCTGTTAAAGGTCTGTTGCTTGGCTAAAAATATTGTAAAGAAATGTCCTAACTTTATATGAATATGATAAGAATAGCAACTTCAATAATCTGAATACTTAGCAATGGTGCCTTATGCTTGGTCCCAAAATAATAGTGGACTAGAAAGTTAATCGTTCTATTTTAATGTTTCATTAATTCACTCTTGAAGGACAATGCTTTTCTGAAACTCAGATTCAACCCATTATGATCTTACACTGATACAGAATTAATCCTAACCAATTTTCATTTCTTAACTACAGATACAGTTTATATCTCTTGAAATAAAATTGATGTTTTAAAATTTGTTATCTGTTATGCTAATATTTGTTTCCTATAGATTTTCATCATATGAAGCAAAATATCATAAGAAGTGAATAACTGGGTAATTATTTTGTAATTATTTCTTTTCTTTAGGTTTGTGTTCCTTTGTTCTTTAAGTTTCAGTTGATCTGAATTCATCTGCTTAGAAATTATTTTGTGAAATGCAATATTTTTGCAAAGAAAATTCATTGTTATTTTTATTTCTCACTATTTAAAAACAAATATAATATAAACACATGAAACGACTGTTTCTATTTGATGGATTTCTCTATATAGACTTTCAATGAAATGAAAAATTAGCTTAATAATGGCTTAACAGTTATTAATGATAATATAATTATATCAGACTTATCATGACAATTGTTTTCTTCCATGCCTAGATGGAAAGATGATTCACTTACGCATACAACTGCTTCCTCCTAATTGGAGTATTTGTGTCTAAAGATTTATAAATTAATGGTAATGTCAAGTTGATACAATTCAATCCAGGGAATTAGTTCCTATGATACATTTAATAAGCTTTGGATATATAGGGTGCTGTGGTTTGAATGTTTCTATCTCTCAAAATTCATGTTGAAACTTAATGTCCAATATAAGAGTATTAAGAGGTGGGCCTTCAGAAGATGTTTAGGACATAAGGGCTCCACCCTCATGGATGGGATTAGTGATTCATGAAAGGGCTAGAGGGAACTAACCAGACTCTTTATCCCTCCACTTTCTACCATGAGAGGATGCAGCAAGACGGTCCTCACCAGACACAGGATGCCAGTGCCTTGACCTTAGACTTGTCAGCCTTTAGAACTGTAAGAAATAAATTTCTGTTCTTTATAAATTACCCATTCTGTGTTATTTTGTTATTATAGCACAAATGAAACAAGATCAGTGGCTTTAAGCCTTTTGAAGTCTGCAAGTCCGTTTGATAAATTACAGTAGTCCCCCTTATCCATGGTCTCATTGCAGTTACCCTCAGTGAACCATGGTCCAAAATATTTTATAGAACATTACAGAAATAAACAATTCATAAGTTTTAAATTGCATGCCATTCTGAATAGCATGATAAAATATTGTGCTGCTCTGCCTCATGTTGCATAGTACATGAATTATCTCTTTGTCTAGGATGTCCACTCTGTGCATGCCACCCACCCATTAGTCGCTTTATAGTCATCTCAGTTATCAGATCAACTGTTGTGATATCACAGTACTTATGTTCAAGTCACTCTTATTTTACTTAATAATGGCCCCAAAGCATAAGGGTAATGATGCTGGCATATTGTTACAATTGTTTTATTTTTTAGTTATTGTTATTTATTTTTTAGTTATTTATTTTTTAGTTATTGTTGTCTCTTACTATGCTTAATTTGTAAATTAAACTTTATCATAAGTATGTATGTCTAGGAAAAAATATGGTGTATATATAGGGTTCAGTACTATCTATGGTTTAAGGCATCCACTGGGGGGTCTTGAAATGTAACCCCTGTGGAGAAGGGAGGACTACTGTACTGATAAAAACTACTAACACTCTTCAGAGAAAACATGCATACATACACTCAAACTTTACATTCAAAATAAAGAGACTCTCAGACTGCCTAAAGCTTATCCACATAATAAGAATCCATACAGTAGAAGCATATAGAAAAACAAAATTTAAATATACAACTGCTCCTTTTATCCAAGACTGTATCAATGCCAATAATGCTTTATTGCTCTATGATTCAGGCATACAGCATGGAGCTTCAGGTTAATAGGTTCATAAGGGTAAATCTACTGGCATTCCTAATGTAATACTGTCTCTCAGGGGGCTGCCACACATTAACCAAGTTCTCTGAGATCAAAGCATAGAACCAGAAAGCCAATTTGTTAAATTACAATGAGAAATATGCTGTCACAGAGTGCCCTCAGGGCAGATCTACGGAGGAGACCAAATCCTAATCAGAAAGTTGCTTCTGAATTTGGAGTCCAAATAAGGTGTGTTATATGAACTTAAGGCATATTATCTGTCTCACCCGAGGGATGATGTTTCCTATGAAAACCGGAATACTTAAATTTCATTCTCCCTCTAGGGGCTTTGTAATTTAAGGCTAAAGTTTTTATTCTCTACTTTAGGCAAATTCCAAGTCAGTCCAGGGCCTTCTCTTTGATCTTAAAATTCAGCAAGAAGGTTTTGGGCATAATATGCCCAAAGTGAGCCCTGTCTGTGTACAGCCTTGTCTGCGGAGGGAAGAAATCTCCTGAATCCAGTGCCAGGAGTGCTTATTCCACAGATTCTCATGACAGCCTTTCCCTCATTTCCACCCTGCTCAGAGGTGAGGGGCTGAAGATCAAAGCTAACTAACTCAAGTGAGACTCAATTTGATTACTACATACCAAGAAGGTTGAGATTTTTCCAATTAATTTGCTATATGACTGATCATTGAGTCAATCACTTTACCTCATAGATTAAATGATTTATCCAAAGGCATACAGCTTGTCAGGAGTGAAGTAGAACTAAAATCTAGGATTGGTTCTGCCCACAGAGGTAAATATTCAGGGGGTCCCCACTCTTTGGAGTGCCTTTTTCAAAATGTTCCAAGTCTCCTCTAGTGCCTGGTACTGATCAATAATGCTCCCTGGAAAGAGTACATAATCCTGGAGTGTCAGCCACCTGGGCTCCAACACGCTTTCTCCTTTCCAAGACTCTAACATCCACATGGGGTGAGGCGAGCTCTGGGACTTGAACCAGTGGTGTTGTCCCGGACCTATATCAGGTTCCAGTGGGGAAGTCTGTTGAGAAATTTCTGTCATTGCTCAGCATTCTTCTTTTTTTTTTTTGTGAATTTTATGCATTTTTAATGTTACAAATATGGTCTTTTTTGTTGCATTTTAGGTTTGGGGGTACATGTGAATAAAATGCAAGATTGTTGCATAGGTACACACATGGCAGTGTGATTTGCTGCCTTCCTCCCCTTCACCTATACCTGGCACTTCTCCCCATGCTATCTCTACCCAACTCCCCACCCCCCACTGTCCCTCCCCTATTTACCCTCAACAGACCCCAGTGTGTAGTGCTCCCCTCCCTGTGTCCAAAAATTTTTGCAATCTACCCATCTGACAAAGGGCTGATATCCAGAATTTACAAAGAACTAAAACAGATTTACAAGAAAAAAAACAAACAAGCCCATTCAAAAGTGGGTGGATGATATGAACAGATACTTTACAAAAGAAGACATACATGAGGCCAACAAACATGTGAAAAAATGCTCATCATCACTGGTCATTAGAGAAATGCAAATCAAAACTGCATTGAGATACCATCTCACGCCAGTTCAAATGGTGATCATTAAAAATTCTAGAAACATTGATGGGCATTTGGGTTGGTTCCAGGTCTTTGCTATTGTAAACAGTGCTGCAATGAACATTCATGTGCATGTGTCCTTATAGGAGAACAACACATCATGGAATATTATGCAGCCATCAAAAATGATGAGTTTGTGTCCTTTGTAGGGACATGGATGAACCTGGAAATCATCATTCTCAGCAAACTGACACAAGACCAGAAAATCAAACAGCACATGTTCTCACTCATAGGCAGGTGTTGAACAATGAGAACACATGAACACAGGGAGGGGAGCACTACACACTGGGGTCTGTTGGGGTGAAATGGGGGAGGGACGGGGGGGTGGGGAGGTGGGGAGAGATAGCATGGGGAGAATTGCCAGGTATAGGTGAAGGGGAGGAAGGCAGCAAATCACACTGCCACATGTGTACCTATGCAACAATCTTGCATGTTCTTCACATGTACCCCAAAACCTAAAATGTAATTAAAAAAAATCTAGAGACAACAGATGCTGGAGAGGATGTGGAGAAATAGGAACACTTTTACACTGTTGGTGGGAGTGTAAATTAGTTCAACCATTGTGGAAGACAGTGTGGCAATTCCTTAAGGGCCTAGAAATAGAAATTCCATTTGACCCAGCAATCCCATTACTGGGTATATATCCATAGGATTATAAATTGTTCTACTATAAGGACACAAGCATGTGAATGTTCACTGCAGCACTGTTTACAATAGCAAAGACCTGGAACCAACCCAAATGCCCATCAATGATAGACTGGACAGGGAAAATGTGGCACATATACACCATGGAATATTATGCAGCCATCAAAAATGATGAGTTCAAGTCCTTTGTAGGGACATGGATGAACCCGGAAACTATCATTCTCAGCAAACTGACACAAGAGCAGTAAATCAAACACCACATGTTCTCACTCATAGGCAGGTGTTGAACAATCAGCATTCTTCTTTTGCAGGATAATGGGAGAGCAAGCAGATAGAATGGTCCTGGCCTAAGACTTTGGATAACATTTCACTCACAGTAGACACAGAATGAGCTCAGGTCTTTGGTCTATAAAAGTCCCACTACTAACTCTGAGATTTAGCCACGTGTGTGGACTCATGTGTTGGCTATTGCTTGTTCATGTTCCATCAGCAGTGCTACCTCTTGTCTATAGAACCTGAGGGTGGCAGGAGGCAGCAGGCATTCTTCATACCATGTACCTCCTGCCTCCTGCCACCTGAGGCAGTCACCCTATCCCCTCTATAGACTTGAGGTGCGGGTCAGTCAACTCTTTTGAGCAACTCCTCCTATCTTCCCTGAGGGCTGAAAGACCATTGCTCTGCAAAGCCTATTGACCTTTTTGATTGATGTCAGCTCCTCTGTCAGAGCCATACAATAAAACAGCTAACACAGAAGGTTTAATTAAGATCTAAACTCTTAAAACATAATTCCCTAACAGTACAAGTTTCACTCAAAAAATTCAGTCAAGAACCAAGAAGATTTCAAATTAAATTTAAAAAGACAATCAATAGATGGCAACATTGTGATAAAGACAAAGATTTTATAGTAGCCATGATAAAAGTGCTTCAATAAGCAATTATAAACACAATTGAAACAATGTTTTTAAAAATCGAAAGCGTACACAAGGATATAGAAGGTCTTAGTAAAGAAAGAAGATATAAAGGGGAATCAAATGGAAATCTTGACATTTAAAGATACAATAACTAAAATTAAGAATGTCATGAATGCAGTGGATAGACTCAGTGGCAGATGTCCTTTGAAGAGTGCAGAGAAAAAATATTAATGAATTGGGAATTAGAACAACAGAATTACCCGAATTGAACTACAGAGAAAAAATAGACTAAAAAAAATGGAACATAGCCTCGGGCATCTAAGATAGCCTTAGGCATATAACAAAAGATGTAATAGTTATGATTCTAGAGAAGAAAGAGGGGAGACTACAAAAATATTGGGAAAATAATTGCTAAATTTTCTAAAATTTGTCAACAAACATAGACATACAAATTCAAGAAGCTGAGGAAATATCAAATAGGCTTAACTCAGATAAATCACTTCCAGAACCATCATAATTAAACTGTTGAAAAGTGAAGACAAAAAAAAAATTGAAAGTAACCAGAGGAAAACAACACCTTAACAATAGAGGAAGAGCAATTTGAATGTCAAACAGATTTCTTATTGAAAACTATGAAGGCTACGGGATAGTCCTCAGATGGCCTTGTGCTAACCCAGCCTTTCTCTCCTTTTTTTGCCCATAGATCTCAGAATAACTGTAGAATGTACTGGGAATGCAACATTTTGAGATAGGAAGGAACTTCCCGAAATAGCCTAGGCTTTGCTTGTTTCCCTCTTCACCTCAGAGCAGGATGCTCTATAGCACTTTAGCACAGTGATTCCCATAACAGAAACATACCTGTTTCTTTTCTTTATTTTTTTTGGAGCAATTGTTAATGGTATTGTATTTTCAATTTCAGTGCCTAGATTTTCACTGCTAGTATATAGAAATGCTATTAATTTTAATATATTGGTCTCTATCTTACAGCCCTGCTGAGCTGAACCTATCTATTAATTCTAGGAGGCTTTGTCTTGATTCCTTGAGATTTTCTATAGAAAACAAAAAAATCAACCATAAACAAAGATACTGTTATTTATTTATTTCTGAATTAAAAGTAGCAAAATTAGAGCAATGGAGAACAAATTACTGGTTGCGAGCATTAAGGAAGGAAGCTGATGTGGCTATAAAAGGTGATACCAAGGATCTGGTTGTTATGGAACTATGTTACATCTTTCCTATATCAGTGTCAATATCTGTGTTGTGATATGGCACTGTTTCTGTAAGATGTTACTATTGGGGAAAACTTAGTGAAGAGTATACAGCATCTCTCTGTACTATTTCTTTCAACCACATGAGGATCTATAATTATCTCAAAATAAAAGTTTTAATTAAAAATGTCAATGAAAGTTTGTTCATTTAATTGAGTCCAATCTAATAAAAGAAATACTATTTTGACATTTTCCTGAGGCCAGAACACATGACACTTGCACTTTCATGCCCATATCATAAAATATATGCTACACTGAATTTCCGATCAATTTATATCATCTGAGGAAAATCACAGTATCTCATATAAGCATATATGTTTAAAGCTCTTAAGTTTATACACCCAGAGCCTAGAAGTTATAAATAAATCAGATAATGGCTTAAAAATAAATTGATGAGACTCTATCTCTTTCTATTCCTATTCCTGACTTTTATCTTTATATCTTTGGAAACTCTTAATATGTTTGCTGTAAGCAGAGACTTCTGATATTTGCTCAGCTTGACAAAATGCATAATAGAAGTTGGAGTGCCTAGGAAAATAAATAACATGGGAATTTATTCCCATTTTCCAAATCTAGAAAAGTTGTACTGACAATAATAAAGAATAACATTGCTTTCAGTAAATCAATGATATTCAGAAATTTTATCAATAATAAAAAGTTTTAGCCTAGAAATATTGAAATTAAAGTTCTCATCCCTGGTCCTCATGATTTGAACCCACTCATGATTTTTTTTAAACCCATAAAATAAGAAATAAAATGCTCAATGTAGGGTGGATGGTTTTCACTATGGAGTCAATTCTAAACACTCTTCCTTTTATACTTTGTCTTTTAAAACTATAAAATACAATGAACTAATTTAACTTTGAGACAAAATAAAAACCTGAGATGGAAAAAAAATAAAAAAATCTTCAAAGTTATTTCATTAATTTTTTTCAACATTTAATGAGCATGAACTATAATACAGACACTTAAGATATATTAGTAAACAAGACAGACTGCCTTCATGGAATTTATATTCCAGTGGTAACCATTCTAGATCATGTCCTTTGCAAGAACACGGATGAAGCTGGAGGCCACTATCCTTGGCAAATTAATACAGGAACAGAAAACCAAATACTGCATGTTCTCACTTATAAGTGGGAGCTAAATAATGGGAACAAATGGACACATAGAAGAGGAGAACATACCCTGAGGCCTTTCAGAGCATGGAGGGTGGAAGGAGGGAGAGGATCAGGAAAAATAACTAATAGGCTTAATACCTGGGTGACAAAACAATCTGTACAACAAACCCCAGGTTTCTTACCTATGTAACAAACCTGAATGGGTACCCCTGAACTTAAAATACAAGTTAAATTTAAGAATGAAAATGAAAATGAAGGAATGCCTTCAAACCAAGGAAAGATGGAAAATGAAGAACAGCCACAGGACGAGGGAAAGCCAGAAGTAGCTTGTACTCTAGAAGACAAGAAGTTAGAAAATGAGGGAAAGACAGAAAACAAGGGCAAGACAGGAGATGAAGAAATGTTAAAGGATAAAGAAAAGCCATAGAGTGAGGAAAAGGCAAAAGAAGAAGGAAAGTCAGAGAAGGAGGGAGAGGCAGGGATGGAGGGAGGATCAGAGAGAGAGAGAGAAAACCAGAGAGAGAGGGAGAGCCAGAGTGTCAAACAAGGGCTGCAGGGAAGCGCCCAGCGGAGGATGGTGTACCCAGGAAAGCCAAAAGAAAAACAAATAAGAGGCTGGCTCATTACCTCAAGGAGTATAAAGAGGCCATACAGGATATGAATTTAAGCAATGAGGACATGATAAGAGAATTTGACAATATGGCTAAGGTGGAGGATGAGAAGAGAAAAAAGCAAACAGAAATTGGGGGCGTATTTGTGGATGCAAAGAAATTTACAGAACCCCTTCTACCCTAGAGGTCCAAGGGAGTTCAGGGGTGGCTGCAGGGCCCCACGAAGGGACACTGAAGACATTCCTTATGTGTAGTGTCCCTGGCAGGCATATACCAGACCATGTGCTTTAACCTTATGGTAATACTTTAGGCATCCCTCCTGTTACTAGCAGCCTTTTGACCCAAATGCAACATGGTGTTCTCAGTAGCAAATTTTCACCTATTACATGGAAAAATGTTTATGGTGCATTGTAAAATTAAAAAACACAACTTGCAGAACCAAAAAAAAAAAAAAAAGGAAACCATTCTAGAGTAATTATTTCTATTATGTATATATGTACCCATTTTGTATTATTATTTCTGTAAGCATAGGAAAGTTAGATTACTGTTGCTTTTGGAGGCCATAATTTCTCTAAATCTTTCCTATCTATTGTTCACAATAGCTCAAAACTTCAAATTTTCATCAACAGGTGAATGGATAAACAAACTGTGGTATATTTAAATAATGGTCAATTATCCCACAACAAAAAGAGAATGAACTGTTGATATAGGCAACAAGGAAGACTCTTAAAAAATTATGCTGAGCAAAAGATGCCAGACACAAAAGAATACATACAGTATAACTCCATTCTATGAAACTCTAGAAAAGATAAATCTACTCTATGGTGACAAAAACCAGATCAGTGGTTGTTTGGGGCTAAGGCCAAAGAAAATTGATAGGGAAGATAAGTTTGGAAAATGTTCTATATTTGTATCTTGATTGTTGTGTTGGTTATATAAGTGTACACATTTTCAGAATTCATTAAAATGTACATTTAAAATGAATGCATTTTATCATATGTAAATTATTTTTAATAAAGTATTTACAAATCCACATAATTTGTTATAGACTCAAAAAGAAATTAATAAAAAATTATTAGAATTAACAGAATAAAAGAGAAAATCATAATATCATCAAATTAGATGCAGAAAAAACATTGGTGAAAAACTCACTTATGTTTTTTTCTTAAAAAAAAAAAAATTAGCAAAGAGAAATAGAAGCCTATCTAAGAAATAAACAAACCAAACCCAACAAAATCCCCATCAAAAAATGTTAAAATGTTGAAAGCTTCTCTCCTGAGATTTAGTATGAGATAATGTCTATTATCACCACTTCTTTTCAGTATTGTACTGGAAGTCCTAGCCAGTGCAATAACAACAACAACAACAAAATGAAATTATAAGGATTAGAAAAGAAGAAATAAAACTGTTATTATTCACACATGACATTATGCTAATGAAAATTTGAAGGAATCTATGGATAAACAAAATTGAGTAATCTCTTCTGATAAATGTATAAAATCAATCGCATGTCTGAATGTTCAGAACAAATGTTTGGAAATGAGATTTTTTAAAAGATATTTTTTACAACTATCGAAAAAGTAAATAGCTAGGTTTAAATCTAATTAAAGATGTGTATGATATCGACATGGGAAACTAAAAAACATTACTAAACAAAATTAAATACCTAAATAAAAGGAGTGATATATCATGTTCATGAAGTGGAAGATTAACAGTTGCAAAAAGTAATTCCCCCAGATTGATCTACACAAATAGTAAAATCTAAATCAGAATCCAAGCAGATTTTGTGGGGATTTTTTTGTTTTAGAAATTTGACAAATTGACTCTAAAATTAGATACAATTCCAAAGGTCCAAGAATAACAAAAGCATCTTGAGAAATGTTGGAAGACTGATACTATCAGATATAAATATTTATAACAAAATTACAGCAATTAAAGCCAACTGACATTTGTGTATGAATAGATAAGTAAAGAAATATTACAAAATGTAGGTGCAAGAAACAAATCTATGCATATATGGTCACTTGATAACAACAACATTGCCAGTACATTACAATAGCTGAGAAGGAAGCCTTTTCCAATAAATAGCACTGGATCAATTGAAGAACCATACGAAAAAAATAGTTATGCAGTACTTCCTCATATTATACACAACAGGTAAGTTACAGATGGATTATACTTGAATGTTAAAGATAAAGCAATAAAGTTTCTCACTGTTAATATAAGATATTGGGTTGATATCCTATATGGTGGACCTATATAACCTATCTGACTTGGGCTGATAAAGATTTCTTGAACACAAGAAGCACCAAGTTTAAACAAAAAGATTAATTCGCTGATTGCATTAATATAAAAAAAATTATGTTTCTGTCATTGGCAGCATCATTAAACACATTACTAGTAGAAAAAAAGGCAAATCACAGAGTAAGAGAGATATTTCCAATTCTTGTATTTAAAAATCATAATATAAATAAATAAATAAATAAATATATACATATATATATATATTAAAATCATCATATAAAGCTGGAAACCATCATTCTCAGCAAACTGACACAAGAACAGAAAACCAAATACCACATGTTCTCACTCATAAGTGTGTGTTGAACAACAAGAACACATGGACACAGGGAAGGGAACATCACACACAGGGGCCTCTTGGGGTGTAGGAGGCTAGGGGAGAGACAGCAAGTTGTGGGTGGATAGGGGAGGAATAGAATTAGGAGAAATATCTAATGAGGATAACAGGGTGATGAATGCAGCAAACCACCATTGCACATGTATACCTATAAAACAAACCTGCACATTCTGGGCATGTACCCAAGAACTTAAAGTATAATAAAAAAAAAGAAAGAGAAAAATCATCATATGTTTTAGAAACTCCTACAAATCAGTAAAAATAAAAATAGACAATTCAGTAAATATAAAAATGGTAAAAATAAAAATAATACGCGCTTCACAGAAAACATTATCCAAAAGTAATAAACATATATGAAAGTGCTAGAGCTCATTAGTCATCAGAAAAGTACAAATCAAAATACTGGTACTAGTCATATACAAGTGCACAAGCTTCACAGGCTAAAATGAAAATATTTGGTAGTACCAAGAGCTGGCAAAACATGGAAGTATCATATATTACTGGTGGAAGTGTCAATTGATGCAACTTATTTGGGGAAATGGTACTAAAGATGAACTTATACTCGTCCTAGAATTCAGCAATTCCAAATTTATATATATAAACTCAAAAGAAATGAGTACACATATACACCGAAAGAACAAACAAAAATATCAATAACAGAATTATTCTTTGTAGGTAGAACCTGGGGAGGAAAGGATGACATTTCAAACTTATGGAATGTGCCTAAGGAACTATACATAGCCTTAAATTTTTATGTTACAATGAAGAGAGATTGAAAATTTTAAGTACTCAACTAAAAAAAAAAAAAAAAAAAAAAAAAAAAAAAAATAAAAAAAAAAAAAAAAAAAAAGACAAAAATCAAAACACAACAAAGGTCATTCTAAGAAGGAATAAGAATTATACAAATAAGAAATAATATAACAAAAATAGTATAATAGAAAAGATTAATAAAGCCAAAAGTGGTTCTTTGAAAAGCATTTAAATAGAAAAACCTCTGGCAAGACTGGTCAAGAAAGAAAAGAGATAGTACAAACACATGCTGTTTGGAATCTTTTTAAGAATAGTAAATATAAATGACATGATAAAAATCCTATGAAGGACTCTATGCTAATACATTAAAAGTGAACAATTATTAGATAAATTATCAAAATTGTCTTTTAATACCAGTATTAAGGGCCCAGGAACTATTAACAGGATGACCATATACCTCCTTGTTGACATGTTTTCCCAGCATAATTATCACTTCTTCTTTCACTCTCGATTGCCCACATTTGATAATTTATGTGGTTGCCTACAAATCACAGAATATTGGGTATTAAGCTGGGGTTCATGTAGAAGCAGGCCCTGATTATCATCCCTATGTAGGCCACTGTCCACAATTATAAATAAGTTGAATGAAATGAGATACATGTTGAAAAAATAATGAATATGTGTTTGCCTCTGTCTTGGCACACTGATAGCATCACCCAGCTTCAATCCCATGAGGAGTTTTATAAAGAGTGGTGGTGCTGATAGAGAAGGGATTTTCAGGTTCCTCGGAGCTTCTTTGTCCTCAACCATTCACTCCAATTCTCTGAAGCTCCTCTGCCTATGCAATTTTATCAGCTTGCAGAAGAGTCAGCCTAAGATAAGGTTTGCTCCAACTGCTGAATATTTCTTCCAGAAACTCACCACACCCTATGCACCCTCATTCTTAAGGCTAATTTTAACCATTTGCTTATTTACCATTATGGTGGATCCTTGATCATTTGAGTGGAACTGATTAACAGAATTGCCACTGTAACAAGAAATTTTAAAATACGGCATTTTCCTGTGATCATCTTCATATTTATGCTATCTTCATATTTTGCACTTAAATTTAATGGTAACCCTTTTGCAAGGATAGGCTGGAATATACTGTGGTAATAACACCCAAAATATCAGTGTTTAACAAGGGTATATTTCTTTTTTTTTTTTTTAACCATAATGTCATTTTATTCATTTAAACAGAAAAGGACTTAAGAAAAAGCTTAAGAAAGAATATACGATTGTGATCTTGGCTGGCTTAGAGGAAAAAAGCAAAGTCAGACATGTGTTTAACCATTAATTTCAGCTATTGTCCTCAGTTTTCTAATGCAAGTTTAATGTGGATTTCTAAATATTTTCATTCATATACTATGCACTCCAGGAGAGACAGCAGGACTGTAATAATTAAAGTCCAATGAGTACAATTCTGTGTTTCTGCCTCCATCATGCAGATGCCTTACCAACAGGGTATTAGAAATAGATTTGGCTAAAGCTTCTTTTTCTTGGGGAAGGAGCTGGGATGGATGCTGTGTGCTTTCTTTGTTCCTTCCTTAGCATGGTTGCTTCGACCACCCTTCTGAGCCACATGTCCTTTCTTTAAATAGGTGGGTTCTGTCAGGTTATAGTCTAGTCTTACATGTTTAACAATCATACTGATTTTTTGGAAAATTTGTGTATTTCATCTTCTGCTCATTTTGTGTGGTTCATAAAGTTGAAATCTCTAAGAACAATCTCAGACCCCAGTTTTGGGGAGTCTTACTCCTGAGTATCAACAACCACAACTCTGTCAGTCTTTCTAACATAACATTGCTTAAAGATTGATGGTTGAACTGAATTACAGTCAGCATCCACAGGTGCTTTAGTTTTTGAGATCATTGTAGTGTCACATGCAGTTGTAAGAAAAAGCACAAAGAGATTGTGTACTCTTCTCCCATTTTTCTACAATGCTAACATCTTGCAACACAACCATAAGCATACTGACATTAACACAGTCAAGATACAGAAGAGTTCCATAACCACAAAGATCCC